ATATATATATATATATATATCTATCTGTATAGATATATATCAATATATATTGATATAATTTATTGAGTTTTTACAAGCTGTATCTGTTGTAGACATTGAATTAACAATTTTCTTATTGAGCGCTTATATAGTTTTATAGCAAGAATGATCTTTAAGAGCTAAACTGACTTTTTCTTACATTTTGTACTGCTGACTTCGCATTCCACAGATTTTCATGTGGTAGTTGGGTTTTGTTAGGGAATGGTTTTGGTTTGATTTCGTGACAATGATACCTGACCTGTGCTGCTGTAGAGGAGATGGACACCAGAATAACTACCCTTCTGCTCTATTGTTAATTTTGCAAACATAACTTTTACCAAAACAATAAAGACAAAAATGACCTGTTCACGTGTGGCCGTTCTTATGTTCATCTTTTAGCCTCGCGCTCAAATAGTACATTTTTATGGTCCGATTAACATGCAGTTGTATGCAGATGTTTGGGAATGCGTGATCAAATGATATGTTTTGCTGATTTTTCTAACGGGCATGTTACCATGACCTCTAGAGTGAATCAACTTTAAAGTGACACTGAACTCAGGAGTTAGATCTTAAAAATACATTCAAGTATTTTAACTATTAACAATAATGTATCTTATTTGTGTATCACTCGGCTGTAGATCCTCAAATCATCTCTGAATTGGTGCCTACACTGTCCTTCCTTCTGGAGGGGGGCTACTTTTGTTCCCCCATGGTCCCTGTGTGTGACTACAATCTTAAATTGAGTTTACCAATTTGTATTGAGATTGTAGTCCATCACAGGAGTGAGCTTGGAGCGGTGACTACTTTACAGAACACATAGGGAACATGATGATTTGAGGATCTACAGCCGAGTGATACACAAATAAGATACATTTGTATTAATAGTTACGTTACTTGAATGTATTTTTAGGATTTAACACCTTTAGTGTCATTTTAATGTTATGTGTTTTAGCTAATTGTAATGCACAATTTAATTATAATCATCCATTGGAAACAAATTCACATCAATTAATGTGCAGTGCATGCCAGGGGGGGACCCATTACTATTTCTAGACGTGTTCTGCAGGAAAGAGTGGCTGACATTTCTATTACATTTTTGCAGAAAGTTTGGAGTTTATGTGATCCCCTTTTATTGGCTACTTTAGGTTACTAAAGATTCAAGTTTTCTGGATTCTTTACATCCCTTCAGCAGGCGTTGTACAATTCAGGGATGAAGGGATCTAAGGAATTCCGAAAGCTTGCATTTTTTATTACATGGCCAATAAAGGGAACATCACTTCAACTTCAGACTTTCTGCACAAATCAATGGCTAATGAAGATAAATCTTAGAAAAAATTAAATGAACCCACCTTCAGGTATGCAAGGGCCTTGAGCTCTCACAAGATTGTATAAATAAAAAAATGTATTTATTGTTTGCAAAAAAAAGCACATTATGTTGTCACATTTGAGAGATCAATAGCCACAATACAGATGATAACGCAGTACATTACAGTAGTCATGGTTACTCATGTTTGATTGGGCAGGTACTGTTTTCCTCTGGATACCCCAACCTGTTTTGCCTTAAAAAGGCTTCCTCAGGAGAATATTAATCCTAAAGAAAAACTAATCCATATGTGGCAAATCAGTAACTACATCGAAAAGTATCATGATAGATTTTTTTAACGTAGACAACATAGAGACATACCACAAGGAGAGGTACACATGCATAGTATATGTTTGCAAAACAAATGAGTATACACTTGAATTAATCGCAACAGTTGAGAGTAAGTAAACATTTTAAATGCATAGTAATAATGGTAAAATGTGCACCTGCAGTTTGCTATGGACCAGTCTGCAAAGAACCAACCACGTGGACAAAAGGTACAAAGGTAATGGGGAGGCCGCGTCAGAAGGCAAATCGCAGCAGGAGTCGAACATTTTTTTTTTATTTATACAATCTTGTGAGAACAAGTG